TAGTAGTAGTAGTAGTAGTAGTAGTAGTAGTAGTAGTAGTAGTAGTAGTAGTAGTGGTAGTAGTAGTAGTAGTGGCGGTGGTCGTGGTAGTGGTAGTGGTAGTGGTAGTGGTAGTGGTAGTAGTAGGTACAAGATAGTAGTAGGTACTAGATCGTAGGTACTAGATAGAAGGTACTAGATAGAAGGTACTAGGTAGTAGGTAGTAGGTAGTAGGTAGGTAGGTAGTAGTAGTAGTAGTAGTAGTAGTAGTCGTAGTCGTAGTCGTAGTAGTAGTAGTAGTACTGGTAGTAGTAGTAGTAGTAGTAGTAGTGGTAGTAGTAGTAGTAGGTACTAGATAGAAGGTACTAGATAGAAGGTACTAGATAGTAGGTAGTAGGTAGTAGGTAGTAGGTAGTAGTAGTAGTAGTAGTAGTGGTAGTAGTAGTAGTAGTGGTAGTAGTAGTAGTAGGTCGTAGTAGTAGTAGTAGTAGTAGTAGTTGTTGTTGTTGTTGTCGTCGTCGTCGTAGTAGGTAGTGGTAGTAGGTAGTAGGTAGTAGGTAGTAGATAGTAGGTAGTAGGTACTAGATAGTAGGTAGTAGGTAGTGGGTAGTGGGTAGTGGGTAGTAGGTAGTAGCAGTAGTAGTAGTAGCAGTAGTAGCAGCAGCAGCAGTAGTAGTAGTAGTAGTAGTCGTAGTGGTCGTCGTCGTCTTCCTTTGCTGCTGCTGGTGCTGGCGCTGGCGCTGGTGCTGGTGCTGCTGCTGCTGCTGGTGGCGGTGGTGGTGAACACTTGCTGCTCTGAGTCTCAAACGCTCGCAGTGCTTCGCTACAGATTGCGCTCACACCAACCTCGCAGATTTGGCAGGACTAGGGCAAGCGGGTCAGATTCGTTTAGCGTTCAGTACACTTTGGAAGGAGTATGCTTTTTGATCTCGCCAAGTTGTCTGCGATTTCACGCAGTGGACAAAGGGTTCAATACCCCGCTGAACACGATCCACTGCACCAAAAGCGAGTCCTAAGACGAGCTGAGGCCTGACTTGTTCAGCCTCCATGTTTTGCGTGTCAAATGTACGTTTCGTTGCGAAAAACGAGTGGCTCAGCTATTGCAGGCAACAAACCTGCACCGAGCAGACCGAGGAAACAGAATTGGCAGCATGTTCGAAGCAGTCTCACTCTTCCAACAAGACCCAAAACAGCAAACGCTCTTGATTGAAAAAAGCGCCCGAGCGAAGGGGAACGAGACGCTACGGAAGACAAACAATGACTCCATCACAAGTCACAAGAAATTCGCAACTGGCAAACTCAAAGAGGTCAGTGGTGTTGATCTGTTCTTTCTTGACAAGAAAGAAACAACAAAGAAAGACTTGTGATAATTACACCACCGTAGACCCCAAACAGTTTGTGTTTTTCAAAATCGAAACTAGAGCTTGCGACGTCCAGAGCTGGGAGATAAATGTAAAGGATTGCAAGGCAGAGACGGACACAGCAGTACAGAGCGGGGGGACACATCTTAAGAAAGAAGTGAGAAGCCCTAACAGTAAACCTTTTGGGGAATTATTCTTCAAGCGCGAACATGATGCTGGTCATGCTGCTCAGTCAGCGGGGAGCTGACCACGTGAGGACAAGAAACAAAAGCATGAGGAGCGAAGGATGTGACATGAAATTGATTTTTGGTGCCTGACATATGCCCTCCGCCCCAACTGAATAGAGAGATCGCTGCCACGCCGCCGAAATCCAATCCGGTCATTCATCCAACGGTTGCCCGAGAAGGAAAACAAAGCTGAGAGAGTTACACAGTGTGGCAGGAATGCAACCCCGGAGACCGTCACGCACCCCTTGCAAAGGAGCAAGAACCTTTCACAGGCGAACCTGTTCCAGCGGACAGGGCAGAAAACAGCGGTGCAGGCACCAAACCTGAAAGACAAAAAGAAAGAAGTCACATGGGAGACAAATGAATAGAAATGCTACATGGCCAGCGGAAAAGGGCGGCAGCACCAGTGACAGACCCGGGAAACAAATTAATAGAAATGCTGCATGCCCAGCGGAAAAGGGCGGATACCAACAGTGACAGACCTGGGAGACTAATGAATAGAAATGCTGCATGGCCGACGAAAAGGGCGGACACCAGCAGTGACAGACCTGGGAGACAAAACACTGGCAGTGACAGACCTGGGAGACAAATGAATAGAAATGCTACATGGCCAACGGAAAAGGGCGGACACCTACAGTGACAGACCTGGGAGACAAATGAATAGAAACAGCGGAAAAGGGCGGACACCACCAGTGACAAGCCTGGGGGACAAAAGAATAGAAACGCTGCGTGGCCAGCGGAAAAGGGCGGAAATTAGCAGTGACAAAGACAAATGAATAGAAATGCTACATGGCATGACGGACCTGGGAGACAAATGAAGCATTTCTGGGAGATAAATGAAAAGAACCGGGAGACAAATGAAAGCAAGTGGGAGACAAGCGGGCCGGGAACCCGACCACAAGCACCCAGCCTGGGAGACAAATGAAAAGAAGTGGGTGACAAATGAAAAGAAGTGGGAGACAAATAAGAGGCCGGGAACCCGACCACAAGCAGAAAAAAAGTGGGAGACAAATGAAAGGAAGTGGGAGACAAGCTGGCCGGGAACCCGACCACAAGCACCGAGCCTGGGAGACAAATGAAAGGAAGTGAACCCGACCACAAGCACCCAGCCTACCGAGCCTGGGAGGCAAATGAAAGGAAGTGGGAGACAAGCCAGCCAGGAACCCGACCACAAGCACCCAGCCTGGGAGACAAATGAAAAGAAGTGGGAGACAAATGAAAGGAAGTGGGAGACAAGCCGGCCCGGAACCCGACCACAAGCACCCAGCCTGGGAGACAATGAAAAGAAGTGGGAGACAAATGAAAGGAAGTGGCCTGGGAGACAAATGAAAAGAATTGGGAGGCAAATGAAAGGAAGTGGGAGACAAGCCAGCCGGGAACCCCGACTGAAAAGAACTGGGAGACAAAGGAAGTGGGAGACAAGCCGGCTGGGAACCCGACCAGACCATCCAGCACCAAGGCGACCATTCTTTAAAGCATTGAGAACCCCTAACAGTAAACTGCTTGGGGAATGAAAAGAAGTGGGAGACAGATGAAAAGACAAATGAAAGAAGTGGGAGACAAATGAATGCACGTGGGAGACAAGCCAGCCGCAAACCCGACCACAAGCACCCAGGGAGACAAATGAAAAGAAGTGGGAGACATATGAAAGGAAGTGGGAGACAAGCCAGCCGGAAACCCGACCACAAGCACCCAGCCTGGGAGACAAATGATAAGAAGTGGGAGACAAATGAAAAGAAGTGGGAGACAAATGAAAGGAAGTGGGAGACAAATGAAAGGAAGTGGGAGACAAGCCAGCCGCAAACCCGCGACCACAAGCACCCAGCCTGGGAGACAATGAAAAGAACTGGGAGACAAATGAAAAGAAGTGGGAAAGGAAGTGGGAGACAAGCCGGCCGGGAACCCGACAAATGAAAGGAAAGGAGACAAGTGAAAAGAAGTAGGAGACAAATGGGAAGTGCGAGACAAGCCAGCCGGGAACCCGACCACAAGCACCCAGCCTGGGAGA